GACACATTTCCACCGGTCTAATGTCCATTGCTCGTGTTTCTTGGCCCAACAAGACTCCTCTTCTTATTGGTGTCCTTTAGTAGTGGTTTCTTTGCAGCAATTCGACCATGAAGGCCTGATTCACAGTCTCCTCTGAACAGTTGATGTTGAGATGTGTCTGTTACTTGAACTCTGTGAAGCATTTATTTGGGCTGCAATTTCTGAGGCTGGTAACTCTAATGAACTTATCCTCTGCAGCATAGGCAACTCTGGGTCTACAGCTGCACCATCGAGAGCATCCTGACTGGTTGTATCACCGCCTGGTATGGCAACTGCTTGGCTTCCGACCGCAAGGCACTACAGAGGGTAGTGCGTACGGCCCAGTACATCACTGGGGCCAAGCTTCCTGCCATCCAGGACCTCTATACCAGGCGTTGTCAGAGGAAAGCCCTCAAAATTGTCAAAGACTCCAGCCACACTAGTCATAGACTGTTCTCTCTGCTACCTTACGGAAAGCGGTACCGGAGTGCCACGTCTAGGTCCAAAAGACTTCTCAACAGCTTCTACCCCCAAGCCATAAGACTCCTGAATAACTAATCATGGCTACCCAGACTATTTGCACTGCCCCCCCACCCCATCTTTTTACGCTGCTGCTACTCTGTTAATTATTTATGCATAGTCACTTTAACTCTACCCACATGTACATATTACTTCAACTACCTCAACTAGCCGGTGCCCCCGCACATTGACTCTGCACCGGTACCCCCCTGTATATATAGCCTCCCTACTGTTATTTTATTTTACTTCTGCTCTTTTTTTGTCAACACTTTTTTGTTGTTTTATTCTACTTTTTTATTCAAGATAAATGCACTGTTGGTTAAGGGCTGTAAGTAAACATTTCACTGTAATGTCTGCACCTGTTGTATTCGGCGCTTGTGGCCAATACAATTTGATTTGATTTGAAAAGCTGTCATCGTTAAAGTATGGGGATTCTTTTGGGGGGATATAGGTAGCACACATGATGATAGCACACACAATTTCCTTATTAATTTCCAGCCAGATGTAAAATGTTCCTGTTTTGACTAATTTACTAGAGTGGGTTAGGTCTGTTCTATACTAAATTAGCATACCCCCTGAGTCTCTTCCCTGTTTCACACCTGGTAGTTTGGTGGATGAGACTACCAGCTCTCTGTAACCTAGAGGGCAACCAGTGGGTCCGTCTCATTTATAATAATATAATAATATAATATGCCATTTAGCAGACGCTTTTATCCAAAGCGACTTACAGTCATGTGTGCATACATTTTTACGTATGGGTGGTCCCGGGGATCGAACCCACTACCCTGGCGTTACAAGCGCCATGCTCTACCAATTGAGCTACAGAGGACCACGCTGTGCTTCTTGTAGGATGACAATGTCTGTATTTCCAATTTCTTTGATGAAGTCTGGGTTACTGCTCTTTATGCCAAAGGCAGATGACCTCAGACTTTGTATTTTCCAGGATGAGGTAGTAAAAGCTTAGTGTTCCATAGTGTCTAGTGTTGTTTTTGTATGGTTTAGGCCCGGACCATCACAGTAGGTGTGAGCAGAGCATGTTGAGTATCTGATACATACCTCTTAGGTCGCAGGATGGTGCTTGGGCGGGTGTAATAGTGGGGGTTGGGCCTGTTGCTCTGCTCACAGCCTGGGCATAGGTCCTGCTGTCATGTTGAGGTCCTTGCCGCAGGGGCGGGGGGCATGGGGTGGGCAGAATGGGCATAGGTCTGAAATGGGGGGGGCTATTTAGGTTGTGGCCAGGGTTTGCTTGGGGTTGTTTTAGCTGGTTGGGGTGTGGCTGGTGATGCTGTGTTCTGGGTGTAGGTCCTCTTGGCTTGGGTTCTCTCGGTGCAGGTCCTTCAGGAGGGGGTCTTGCAGGTCTGGGAGTGTGTCTCGCTGGTCTGGGCGGGGTGTCCGTTGCTCTGTTGCTCCTGTGTGAGGTGCTGGGGCTACGGTTGAGGGTGACATCCTTCAGGGTCCTGGCAAAAGTTGGGATTGCTGCCTTGTAGAGGTGGACCTGGTTGTAAAGGCTGTTCAAGTCCAGGGTGGAGTGATGGGCCAGGTAAACAGGTTTTGAGGCACAGTCTCGCGAAATGCTTGCATTCACCCGCTGTATGGTGGCAGGGTGAAAGTATTTTCGTGATAGCAGGGTGGAGATTACCACTTGTGCGTTCTCTTTCAATTCAATTCAAAGGGCTTTATTGGCATGGGAAGAATATGTTTACATTGCCAAAGCAATAAACAACAGAAACAGTAGTACATTACACTCACAATAGGTTGTCCCTCCTCTCTCTCGCTCTTTCTCTCTCTCGCTTTCTCTCTCACTCTTCCTATGTACATCTTCTCTCAATCTCTCACTATTCATGTGGCCCTCTTCTCTTTCTCTTTCAGTTTATCTTTCTCTCTCTCTCTCTCTCTCTCTCTCTCTCTCTCTCTCTCTCTCTCACTCTCACTCAATCTTTCACTCTTCCTATGTCCTGCTTCTCCCTCTCTCTTTTTCTGTCTCTCTCACTCTCTCTCTCGCCCTCTCTCTCACCCTCTCGCCAACATTGCATCAATATTGCCAAAGCAACAGTGTATACAGTATATATTGTAATAAATAATGAATAATAATAATATAAAATGGTAGTAAATAATAAGAAAAATAAGAAAAAATTAAAATATATATGTAGTAGCAGTCAATAGTAGAAATATAATAAATATAAATGGCTAAACATGGAAAATGAAACTATAACTAACTTATAACGAACTAACTGTCATCCTCACCATTACATCTGTACTACGCATTAAGCATAGAGGACATGTGCAGGTTGGTTGGTCTGTCAGACACTGTCGCTCATCTTATGGCAGGCAGCAATTTATGTTACAGGAGGGGGTCGCAGTTCCGGAGCGACCCACTAGGTGTCATCCTCCGACAACGTTATGCACCTCCTTACTCACAGTCTGGACTAATCATCATCCTATTGGTGTCACCTGTGTCTACCTGTTCACCTGTGTATTTATGCCCTCACTTCCCTGTGTTCCCTTGCTCAGTTTTCTCTGCTAGTTTTTCTATGCTCAGCAGTACTACGACTGTCTAAGAAGGAAGCTAGCGGTGGTTTAAATAAATTCAAATAGTTAAAAAGTGTTTGTAACTAATGTAAAGAAGAGTCGGAGCAGTGGTGCGGGCGCTATTCTCCTCGTGGAGATGGCGAAAAATGCGAATTTTAGGGCGATTCCCAGGATTGGGATCACGAACGCAGTTAGGTTTGCGTGGAAGGAGAAGGACATGGAGCCTTTTGGAAGGGAAACATTTAGGAGGACTTTGTTGATGGGAGTGTTAAAGCTGGCGGTAAAGGACGTGATGTGCCTCCAGGCGAACCCCTTGGAAGGGGCTTATGATGTGGTTTTTCACACGGAGGGGAAGCATGACGAGGTCATGAAAAAGACGAGGGAGGTGGAGAAGGCCAGGCCGATGTGCCACTATGATGTGACAAGCTTGGCCAAGAACAACTTCAGGGTAATAACAGTAAACATGTATAACCCGCATGTTAAGGATGAGGAGGTGAGGGCTTTTATGGGGAGGTATATGGACAATATCTCCTCGGCAAGGCTCCTCAAAGACTCGCTAGGGTTCTGGAACGGGAGGAGAAGCTTCCAGGCTCTGTTGAGGGAAGACCCAAAGGGCCTGGGAGGTTACCTTCATCCTCCAGCTCTGTTCTCCCTGGGGGCTGACAGGGGGACATTGTTTTATGCCCCCTTTCTGCAGACGATGCATGGCCTATGGCCATAATTTCGCCTCATGTGGGGCGAAGAAATGCAGGGTGTGTGGGTCTGAGGCACACGAGGCGAGGGACTGTGACGAGTCGAAGAAGTGCCACGGGTGTGGATCGTCAGCACACCTGTGGAGGGAGTGTATGGCTTGTCACAAGTCATACGCAGCTGCAGCTGGTGGGGGAGCAGGGGCAGGAGTGGGGGATGGAGGAGGAAGAGGAGGAGTTCCAGACCCAAGCGCAGGGCCAGAGGCAATACCATCGACGATGGAGGAGGAGCCGAGAACAGCAGCGGGAGGAGAGGGGGACGGGCAGGGGACTGCCGTAGCAGTTCTGGAAGGAGAGGTGGTGCCGGAGATGGAGATGAAGGGGAGTGTGGGAGAGGAGGTGCCGGAGACGGAGGCGGTGGAGGGATGAGCCAGCCACAGCCCTGGGAGGAGAGGAGAAGGGGGAGAGGGGGGGCCGGAGTGGGGGGAAAGCGAGATGTCGAGTGCCCAGGGGGATGAGGTGAGGGAGTTGATGGAGGAGCTGGTGATCAAGGGGGGCTGGGTCTCCCCACTGCCGGCGTCTCCAAAGAAGAGAGGGAAGAGGAGGGGGAGATCCTCGAACAGGAAGAGGGAAATGGGTGGTGGGGGAGAAGGGGGGGGGCAAGCGTGTCATGGGGGAGAAGGGTGCTGTGGGGGAAAAATCTCCTGTGTCCTCGCTGGCCCCCACCAACGCACTGGGGGGGGGGGAGGGCTCAGGATCCCCTGCACTGTTCCCAACCTGTTTTGAGATTGGGGTTTTGGAGGTGGATGGTGGTGAGCCCAGGATGCAGGAAACCCAGGAGCCAAACACCATTCCTGCATCCTGGGTTGGAGAGATGGGGGGGCATCTGGGGAGTTCCTACAGGAGGAGATGGAGCAGGGGAGCATCAGGTGAGCCTCCTGTTTTGTTTTGTTTTTTGGGGTTTAGTAGGTTGTAATTTGTGAAATGAATTATTTTTGTTACTTTTAATGTGAGGGGAATAAGGGAGGATGTTAAAAGAAGGGCGGTTTTTGGGTATTTAGAGGGGGTGGGTTTTGATGTTTGTTTTATACAGGAGGTTCACCTAAGAGATAGTGGGGATGTAATACGATTTAAGAGGGAGTGGGACAAGGGAGAGTCGGTTTGGGGTATAGAGGGGGTGCACTCATCAGGGGTAGTGATTTTGTTTGGGAATAGGGAGGTGAAGGTGGAGGGCATTTGGTAGGTATGCAGGGGAGGGTTTTGGGGGTGGATGTCACAGTAAGGGATGATAGATATAGGGTAATTGGGGTGTACGGGCCACAGTTGGCGGAAGGCAGGAGGGAGATGGTGGACTGCCTGGCGCCGCTGTGTGCCACGAATAGACACTTGGTGATAGGGGGGGATTTTAATATAGATATAGGGAGGGGGAGGGACAGTAGTGCAAGTGCCATCGCCGGGCTAATGACGTGCCATGGTCTGGTAGATGGGGGCCTGCACACTGCTCCGACGATGGCAGGTCCAACATGGCGCAACTCCAGAGGGGTCGAGCGGAGGCTCGACTATATATTTCTATCCAGGTCACTGGGTCAGTTGTCTGGGCGTTTGTTGCCTGTGTTTTTTTTTTTTTTTCGGATCACGATGGGGTGCTGCTGCAGGTGGGGGCAGCAGTCTGCCTCTTTGGTAGGAGGTACTGGATGAGCAGGCTTTTGTTAACGGTTTTGTTGATTTCTTTAGGGGGCTTGAGGGCCTCCGGTCCATGTGTGAGGGGGTGTTAGAGTGGTGGGAAATAGCAAAGGTGAGGATTAGGGTTTTTATAATAGGATATTGTAAGAGGAAAAAGAGGGAGGAAAGGAGGGAGGTGGATCATATCCAAAGGCTGCTCGAACTCGAGCTCGAGGCAGGCAACCTCGGCGGGTCGGTAGACTGGGAGAGATCCTCTGCCCTAAAAGCGCAACTTAGGGAGGTGCATGAGCGGAAGGCTCGCGCTTTCCTGGAGCGTGCGCATAGTGGGTTTTTAGAACATGACGAGACTTGTTCCGCCGTGTTCTTTAAATCAGTTAGGGGAAGACAGAGTAGGAAGGTAATGTACGGGGTTAGGGAAGAAAACAGTAGAGTAGTGAGAGAAACTGAGGAAATGGTCAAGGTGACCACGGAACATTTCCAAGGTTTTTTTCAAGAAAGGGCAGTAGATGTAGAGCAGGGAAACGTGTTTTTAGAACACCTGTCCCGGCGAGTGCCAGAAGACATTAGAGAAGCAATGGAGGCTCAGATCTCCCTCAAAGAGGTTGAGAGCGCCCTCAGGAGGATGGGAAAAGGAAAGGTGCCCAGGATGGATGGGCTGCCGGCAGAGTTTTACCTGAAGTTTTGGGGGAAACTTGGTCCGGTAATCCTTTAAGTCTTGAAGGCCATCCTCGAGACGGGGGTCCCGGGGGGATCGATGGCCATAGGTGTGCTGTCACTTCTTTACAAGAAGGGGGACGCAACAGACCTTGGCAACTGGCGGCCGTTGACCATGCTGTGCGTAGATTATAAGCTGCTTGCGAAGGTTCTAGCGGACCAGTTGCGCACAGCCCTTCCCTACGTCGTCCATGAGGGTCAGATATGTGGGAAAGAGGGCCGCTCTATTAGGTGGAACCTGAGTTTGATTAGGGACTCCATCGCTTGGGTAGAGGATAGAGGGCTGCCGTTAATGGTAGCAGCACTTGATCAGGCTAAAGCCTTTGATCGAGTGAATAGATATTTTATTTTCAGGGTGTTAGGTAGGTTAGGTTTTGGGGAGAAGTATATAGGGTGGATCCGTGCTTTATATGTCGGAGCAGGGTGCCGGGTTAATGTAAACGGTCACATGGGTGACGTTTTTGACCTCGCGTCGGGGGTCAGGCAGGGGTGCCCGCTCTCGGCACTCCTCTTCGTTCTGTACATGGAGCCTCTGGGGGCTGCCATTAGGGCAGACACAGGGGTGGAGGGCTTGCTTATCCCTGGGAGCGGTGGGCTGCACGTTAAGATGACGCAGTACGCCGACGACACTTCCTTGTTACAATGCAAGGACTCGTGCCTTGGGGATTTCACCCGAGCATTGGGAGCGGTTCTTCCATTAAGTTTTTCGGAAGATGGCGTGGGAGTACGGATGTGCCTGAGGGGTTATCTCTCTGTATCGGGGCCCTGAAGATTCTCGGGGTCTTGTTTGAGACCTCCGGCTCAGCGACGCTGAACTAGAACAGGAGCATCGCAGTGGTACAGAGGAAGCTGGGGATGTGGAGGGCTAGGTAGTTGTCCTTTATAGGCAAGGTCCTGGTCCTCAAGGTGAATGTGTTGCCGTCTCTTTTGTATATGGCGTACGTCTACCCATTGCCAGCTAGTCTGAGGAGGCCTCTAGTGAGGCTAGTGTTTCAGTTCATGTGGGGTGGCAGGCTCGAGCGTGTCGCGAGGGTTCCCATGCTCTGTCCCATCGGGGAGGGAGGTAGGGGGGTACCACATTTCCCCCTCAAGCTGGACTCGATTTTTGTTTCTTATTTGTTGACTGAGCTGGCTCATCCGGTAATACACCCGTCTGGTTACTTCCTGCGGGTGTTCTTCTCTTACATTTACATTTACATTTACGTCATTTAGCAGACGCTCTTATCCAGAGCGACTTACAGTTAGTTTACAGTCAATTATTTTATTTGTTTCATACTGGCCCCCCGTGGGGCCAGGCGAGAAGCATAATGGTGTGGACTAACACGGGTCCTCGGGCGTTACAGCTGCCGTGGCACTTCGGCTATGCGGCCAAGTGGCTGCGTGGTCACCCCGAGGTTGAAGTTGCCCAAGTAGGTTTAGATCACAGGCACCTGTACGAGGAGGTGAGATGGGGAGGGTGTCCCGGGCCATTATTGGGTATCCCGGTGTGGCTTGGGAAGGAGTGCAGGTGCGAGGTCTGGATAACAGGCTCAAGGACCTGAACTGGTTGAGCCTCCATAAGGGCTTGCCCGTACGTTCCTTGTACGGGTGTGGCATGACTCAATCCCCTACCTGCCCAAGGCCAACTTGTGGCGGGGAGGAGACATTGCGCCATGTCTCCTCCCTGGATAGTGAGGAGGGGATAGTGAGGAGGGTGGAGCAGAATTTGAGGGGGAGAATGAAGAGAGAGGAGAGGAAGTGGGGGCAGCATGCTGCTCGGGAGAGATGGAAGGGGGGTTTAGGGTTAGGGTTAGTATAGAGGGGATTTAGGATTTGTGTGTGTGTTTTTAGCTGGGTATAAAGGGGGAGGGAAGGTGCTCCTCTGGGGTGTAATTTCTGTTATTGTTCAGTTTTGTGGGTGTTTGATATATATTGTGGTGGGTAGTTTTGTATTGTTATTTTTAGTGATGTTGGGGTTGGGAATTAATGGTGTGTGTAATGTGTATGATGTATGGTGTGGATTTTTGAATAAAAACTTTTCATCACTAATCAGTGTCTGATCGGAGAGGTATGTACAGGGACTCGAGAAGTGTTCTCCCTGTTTCTTTATTATTTCAGTTATACTTACTATTTCGTATTTTGGCTGTCAGCCTGTTTTTGGAGACATATTTGCTCCACCTTTCTTTTATTGTGTTAAGTCCGTTGTTTTGTGTCCTGGCTTCGGGACCACCAGTAAAGATCCTTGTTTCACCATCACTGCCTACTGTCTATCCTGCACCGCACCTGGGTTACACCTCCCACCAACCCTTACAAATGTAGTGCGCTGCCAACCTTCAGCTCTCTGCGTCCTCCCCCAACAGGATGGGTAGCCTATTCTCACCAGAGAGGTCTTTGAAACCTTGAATAAGGGTTTCAAATTTGGGGAAATTACACTAATTGTTTTATATTTTTTACTTTTTGTCAGGAAATGCAGCTCTGTCTCGGGTTCTGCTGTGGTGCAGTGGTTGAACAGCCATTCCTCTCCAGGGAGCCAGGTTTTCCTGTGTCTACCCTTCTCAATGGCAAGGCTGTGCTCACTGAGCCTGTACTTTTGTCAAGGTTTTTCTAAGGTTTTGATCAGTGACCATGGTCAAATAGTTTGCCACGGTGTACTGTCGATTTAGGGCCAGATAGCACTGCATTTTGCTTTGTGCTTATACTTGTGTTTCCCAATAAGTAATGTAGTTTTGTTTTGACTGTGTAGTAATTTGGTTTATTCTGATTGATTGGATGTTCTGGTCCTGAGCTTCATTCAGTGTGTTAGTAGAACAGGTTTGTAAACTCAGCCGCAGGACCAGCTGGATGAGGGGACTCTTTTCTTTGCTCAGCTCTTGGCATTGCAGGGCTCGGTAATAATGATATGAGAGGGGGTCACTGTATTTTAGTTGTTTCCAAAACGGAATTGCTCTTTTTTTTTGTATTATTAGTGGATATTGGCCTAATTCTGTTTGTAGTTTTCCTCTGGACATGTAGGAGAATCTTACAGAACTCTGCATGCAGGGTTTCAATGGGGTGTTTGTCCCATTTGGTGAAATCTTGTTTATCAAGTGGACCCCACAACTCGCTGCCATGAAGTGCAATTGGTTCAATGACACATTCAATTAGTTTTAGCCAAATTTGAATTTGAATATGTTTTTTTAATGGCGTAGAATGCCCTGTGTGCTTTCTCTCTCAGTTCATTCACTGCATCATTAAGGTGTCCAGTTGAGCTTATTTTTAAACCTAAGTAATTGTAGTGTGTGCAGTACTCTATATATGTTGTACCAATTGAGAACTTTGGTCTAATTCCCTGAGATATGGATCTTCTCTGGAAAATCAATCTTCCTATGTCCTTTATCTCTCATTCTCTCTCTTTTTCTTTCACTCTCTTTGTCTCTTTCTCTCACTCTTGCTCTCCCTCTCTCTCCCTCTCCCTCTCTCAATTCAAAGGGTTTTATTGGCATGGGAAACATATGTTTACATTGCCAAAACAAATGGAATAGAAAATAAACAAAAGGGAAATAAACAAGGGTAACATTAGTAAACATTACACTCACAAAAGTGTAAAAAAATAATATAGACATTTAAAATGTTATATTATTGGCAATGTACATTACGCTCTTTCTCTTTCTCATTCTCTCACTCTTCCTATGTCCCTCCTCTCTCTCTAGCTCTCTCTATTTCTCTGTCAATCGCTCACTAGTCCTATGTGTCTCTCTCTCTGTCTCTCTCTCTGTCTCTCTCTCTCTCTCAATTCAATGGGCTTTATTGGCATGGGAAACATATGCTTACATTGCCAACGCAAGTGAAATAGATAATAAGCAAAAGTGAAATAAAAAATGAACAGTAAACATTACACTCACAGAAGTTCCAAAGGAAGAGACATTTCAAATGTCATATTATACAGTGTTGTAACGATATGTAAATAGTTAAAGTACAAAAGGGAAAATAAATAAACATACAGTGCATTCGGAAAGTATTCAGACCCCTTGACTTTTTCCACATTTTGTTATGTTATAGCCTTATTCTAAAAGTGATTAAATTGTGTGTTTTTTAATCAATCTACAGATAATACTCCGTAATGACAAAGCAAAAACAGGTTTTTAGAAATTTTTGCAAATGTATAAACAAATATTACATTTACATAAGTATTCAGACCCTTTACTCAATACTTTGTTGAAGCACCTTTGGCAGCGATTACGGTCTCGAGTATTCTTGGGTATGAAGCTACAAGCTTGGCACACCTGTATTTAGGGTGTTTCTCACATTCTTCTTTGCAGATCCTCTCAAGCTCTTTCAGGTTGGATGGGGAACCTTGCTGCACAGCTATTTCCAGGTCTCTCCAGAGATGTTCGATCGGGTTCAAGTCTGGACTCTGGCTGGGCCACCCAAGGACATTCAGAGACTTGTTCCGAAGCCACTCCTGCGTTGTCTTGGCTGAGTGCTTAGGGTCTTTTCCCTGTTGGAAGGTGAACCTTCGCCCCAGTCTAAGGTCCTGAGTGCCCTGGAGCAGGTTTTCATCAAGGATCTCTCTGTACTTTGCTCCGTTCATCTTTCCCTTGATCCTCACAAGTCTCCCAGTCCCTGCCGCTGAAAAACATCCCCACAGCATGATGCTGCCACCACCATGCTTCACCATAGGGATGGTGCCAGGTTTCCTCCAGACGTGATCTTGGTTTCATCCGACCAGAGAATCTTGTTTCTCATGGTCTGAGAGTCTTTAGGTGCCTTTTGGCAAACTCCAAGCGGGCTGTCATGTGCCTTTTACTGAGGAGTGGCTTCTGTCTGGCCACTCTACCGGCCTGATTGGTGGAGTGCTGCAGAGATGGTTGTCCCTCTGGAATACTTTCCTATCTCACAGAGGAACTCTGGAGCTCTGTCAGAGTGACTAAGGCCCTTCTCCCCCGATTGCTCAGTTTGGCCGTGCGGCCAGCTCTAGGAAGAGTCTTGGTGGTTCCAAACTTCTTCCATTTAAGAATGATAGAGGCCACTGTGTTCTTGTGGACCTTCAATGCTGCAGAAATGTTTTGGTACCCTTCCACAGATCTGTGCCTGTCTCAGAGCTCTACAGACAATTCCTTCAACCTAATGGCTTGGTTTTTGCTCTGACATGCACTGTCAACTGTGGGACATGATATAGACAGGTGTGTGTCTTTCCAAATCAAATTGAATTTACTACAGGTGGACTCCAATCAAGTTGTAGAAACATCTCAAGGATGATCAATGGAAACAGGAAGCACCTGAGCTCAATTTCGAGTCTCATAGCAAAGGGTCTGAATACTCATGTGAATAAGGTATTTCTGTTTTTTTATTTTTAATACATTTGCTAAATTTCTAGAAACCTATTTTCCCTTTGTCATTATGGGGTATTGTATGTAGATTGAGGAAATTGTTTTATTTAAACATTAGAATAAGGCTGTAATGTAAAAAAATGTGGAAAAAGTCAAGGGGTCTGAGTACTTTCCGAATACACTGTAAATATGGGTTGTATTTACAATGGTGTTTGTTCTTCACTGGTTGCCCTTTTCTTGTGGCAACAGGTCCCAAATCTTACTGCTGTGATGGCACACTGTGGTATTTCACCCAATCAATATAGGAGTTCATCAAAATTGGACTTGCTTTCAAATTCTTTGTGGGTCTGTGTAATCTGAGGGAAATATGTGTGTCTAATATGGTCCTACATTTGGCAGGAGGTTAGGAAGTGCAGCTCAGTTTCCACCTCATTTTTTGGGAGAGTGTGCACATAGCCTGTCTTCTCTTGAGAGCCAGGTCTGCCTAGGGTGGCCTCTGTCAATAGCAAGGCTGTGCTCACTGAGTCTGTACATAGTCAAAGCTTTTCTTAATTATGGGTCAGTCACAGTGGTCAGGTATTCTGCCACTGTGTACTGTCTGTTTACGGCCAAATAGCATTCTAGTTTGCTCAGTTTTTTTGTTAATTCTTTCCAATGTGTCAAGTAATTATCTTTTTGTTTTCTCATGATTTGGTTGGGTCTAATTGTGTTGCTGTCCTGGGGCTCTGTGGGGTCTTCATAGCAGATTTTGAAAAGGCGTTTGATAAAGTACGAATAGAATTTATATATAAATGCCTGGTTTACTTTAATTTCAGTGAGTCTCTTATACAATGGGTTAAAGTTATGTACAGCAACCCCAGATGTAAAATAGTAAATAATGGTTACTTCTCAAAGTATTGAGCTTTTAAGAGGAGTAAAACAAGGCTGTCCATTGTCTCCATATCTATTTATTATGGCCATTGAAATGCTAGCTATTCAAATGATATCCAATAAGAACATCAAGGGGTTAGAAATCCAGGAAATACAAACGAAAGTGTCAATGTATGCCAATGACTCAAGTTTTTTGTTAAGTCCGCAATCTAGATCACTGCACAGTCTCATTGAAGATCTTGATCACTTTTCTAGCCTCTCTGGACTAAAACCTAATTATGACAAGTGTACCAGGTAGCTTAGTGGGTAAGAGCGTTGTGCCAGTAACCGAAAGGTCGCTGGTTCTAATCCCTGAGCTGACTAGATGAAAAATCTGTCGATGTGCCCTTAAGCAAGGCACTTAACCCTAATTGCTGATGTAAGTCGCTCTGGATAAGAGCGTCTGCTAAATGACTAAAACGTAAATGTACCATATTACGTATTGGATCGTTAAAAGACAGTGTTTACACTACCTTGTAGTTTACCAAAAAATGGTGGATGGTGACGTAGACATACTTGGTATTCACATCTAAAAATATATAAATGAACTTACCACAATCAATTTCAAAAGAAAGTTTGCAAAAATAGATAAGATTCTGCA